TAGATCACCAAGCCTTTTTTTCTAGTCTGTCTTAGTTTGGAAGGTCTGCTGAAACCTGACCACAGTGGGTGACCTTGCTGGTATTTGAAGTAAGTGTCATATCATAAATACCTTGCTGATATTTGAAATACGGGTCAGCATTACAGCAACATAAAAGCTACCATGGCACAACAAATTGGCAAACAGTTTGTTTGTGGTCATGGTGCCAGCAACTAATAAATGTGCAAATGGCAGTGGTGGTTGTAGTAATTGTTTATTTGAGGAGGGAAGGACAAATACTATCTCTGTTTTTCAAGACAAGTGAGTTGGCTCAGACAGTGGTGAAATGGGGTTCACATAGGGGTCTTTACCTCTATTCAAAAAACTCAACTGCTGTCGAGTTGGTTCTGACTCATAGTGACCTTTCCTTGGGTTTCTGAGGCTGTATCTCTATGGAAGTGGGTTGCCCAGTCTTCCTTCCAAGGAGTGGCTGGTGGGTTTGAACCGCCAGCCTTCTGGTTAGCCTTAGGCACTATGCCATCAGAGCTCCTTCACCTCTATTAGGATTTTTTTTTTTCCACATGTGACTACATGTGGCATCTGGTGGTGCTCCATGTAGACTTTTTTTTTTTTTTTTAACTTTTGTTGTGGTGAAAACATATACAAAACATTCACCAACATAACAACATAACATTTACAGCTCAGGGACACTGATCACATTTTTCATGTTGTGCCACCATTATTGCTATCATTTTCCAAAATATTCCTCCATGTAGACTATTTTTTTTTTAACCATCTTGAACATTATTTTATCCACCCCCCCCCCCTTTTTTGGCTTTAGGTGCAAATTTACAGAGCAGAATTTGTTTTACATTTAACATTTTGTGTACATTTGGTTTTACTCCCAAGTTACCATCCCCAACCCTAACCCACTCTCCTCCCTTCCCTCCCAGTAACTCCCCCCCCCATGCCATTCATAGTTATGCACTCCTGTGTGTCCTGCATTTCTTCTGTGTGAATGTTGTTCCTCTGGTGCCCTGTGGTCAATTGCTCCAAGGGATGCATCTCCGTAGAGTATGTGGGTACGTCACCCTGGGTTGAGTGGTTTGCATGTATGTCTTATTTACTATTGGGTTGAGAGCCAGCCCTTGGGAATGAGTTTTATTCTAGGCCTGAAGTGTATCCCAGGGCCATAGTATTGGAGGTCCATCAGACCCCATATGACCAGTAATTCTGGTCATTATTGTGTTTTTGGATTTTGTTCCACGTTTTTCCTCCCATTCTAACCAGGATCTCCAGTTTTGATCACTTCCTGAGTGGTTGGTATTGGTAGCCGGGCACCATCTAGTTCTTCAGGTCTTGAGATTCATCATGTTCTAGGGCTGATTGTTTCTAAATGCCCTTGGTTTTTTGCACTCTTCTTTGTTTCTGGTGATAGGAGACCATTAACCATCTTAGATGACCACTCGGAAGCTTTTAAGACCCCAGTCACTGCTCACCAATGTAGGTTGTGGAACAAGACTTCTATGTATTTTGTTGTGCCAATTGAGTCTGGTGTCCCCTAGTACTATGGTCCTGAGTCGGTAGATCCATTGGATCTCTTTCCCACAGTGTCTGGCTGTCTGTGAGGAACTGCTCTATGTTTGTCTTCTGTTGTTTCTGTAAGGATTGCGGGTATTTTGTATTACTGGTATCTGTGCAAGATTAGCCTCAGCTGAATCTGTGCTTGGTCTAGAGTATAATCCTGTTCACTGAGCCCCATCTGATCTTCTCAGATTTTTATTTGTTTATCTGTAGCCTGGTGTTTGGTGTTAATGGTAATGCAGTATTGTGGATATACTGGTATTAGCTTCTGTCATCTATATCTTATGTGCACAATTTGGTATCCTCCCTTTCCCCAATGTTATCGTGCTGGTCACAGACTCTTTCCATAGTATCCCTCCCCTTAACCCACCACAGTGTGTGGCCCCCAACTAGCCTGAAATTATTCCCTCACCTTCCCTCCCCACCCGGTATCCTACAAAGTGAGTTCTCTTCCTTAAGCAAACCCTTCCTTTTCTTTTTACAGTAATGGGCTCATAAAATATTGTTCTTCTGCAACTGACTTATTTCACTCATTCAGCATGATGTCCTCCAGGCTCATCCACATTGTGAAATGATTAGCATATCCTTCATTGTTCTTTAATGTGACATAGTACTCCATTGTGTAAATGTACCATAGTTTGGTTATCCGTTCATCCCCTGGTGGGCATCTAGGTTGTTTCCATCTCTTTGCGATAGTGAATCGTGCTGCGATGAACATAGGTGTGCATGTATCTGTTTGTGCGCTATCTCTCACCTCTTCAGGATATATTCCTAGTAATGGAATTGCTGGGTCAAAGGGTATTTCTATTTTCAGTTTTTTAAGGAAACACCATACCATTTGCCACCATGGTTGTACCATTTTACAGTCCTACCAGCAGCATGTGAGAGTTTCAGTCTCTTCGCAATCTCACCAGCATTTGCTATTTTCTGTCCTGTTGAACTTGGCTATTATTGCTGGGGTGAGATGATAGCTCATCATTTTTTTTTTTTAAATTTTTTTTTTAAATTGTGATTTGGGTGAAGATTTACAGAGCAAATTCACTTTCCATACAGCAGTTCACATATACTTTGTCTCA